GCTTTTTTTTATAATTAATTAGTTATGTTTTAGTTTTCAACATTCACTTCCATAAGATTTTGAGTTTTGAATTTTTCCCCCATCCTCTCCTCCCTCCTCCCCATGACGGTGTGCAATCTGATATAGGCTTCTACTTATGCATTCATATTAAACATATTTTCACATTAGTCATGACATGAAGAAGAATTAGAACTAATGGGAGGAACCATGAGAAAAAAGAAACAAAACAAAAGAGAAGGAGAGCAAATTGTATGCTTTCATTTGCATTCAGACTCCAAAGTTCTTTCTCTGGATGTGAATAGCATTTTCCATCATGAGTCTTTTGGAGTTGTCTTAGATCCTTGCATTGCTGAGAAGAGCCAAGTCTATAGACATGGTTTTTAGCATGATTCCTTAGACACCTTTATGAACTTCAGTTACTAGGCATTTCCAACTGGACCTATCCACAATGCGAAGCCAGACCTACTTCATAGAGGGCTACCTTACTAAGACCAACTTGGCTCTTTTTGGGAAAGAGGCGTTAAGTCACAGTGCCTGTCCTCAGTATGTGATCTAGTAATATGTAGGCATACTTGCCAAGGTAATTTTTCAATAAAATAATTGATATATTATAACCAAATCCACCCTACAGTCAGAACACTCTAGTGACATCATCCTCCTATAATAGAAAAAAACAGCTGCAATGTAGACTGCTTCCTCTACGCTGTACCTCGTCCCCAGAGAGTGAGCTATTCTCCCATCTCCCACCATTACCCACAGCGATATATGAAGGTGTACTTTATACTACTTTTCCCTGATGCAAAAAATTACTAGTTTTGACTAAACACCATCCATGCTGCCTTCAGCACGTACAACCATGAATCTAAAATCAGAAGAAACTTTAGAGGTCACTTAGTCCAACCCGCACATTTTATAGATGAGGAAACTGAGGCCCAGGCTGTTAAGGGGACTTGCCAGAGTTACGTGGGTAGGAAGCATCACAGGGGATTTGGACCCAGGTCCTCCGACTTGAAAGTCAATGCTCCCTTTCCTTGTGTATTATGTCAAGTTACTCCTCTTAGAAAGCACGAATTTTCCAGCAAAGGAAGATCCAAGTTGAAGTGCCAGAAGATGGGGCACCAGGGCTTAACCTTGGGGAGGTAAAGTATAGCTATGGAACCTTGGTATGGAGTAAACATGGAGATGAATCCCTCTGCAAATTCTCTTTGGCTATGATGCAGACAGATATGTCTGAGAACATATGTACAGCTGTGTAAATAATAGCAGAGTAGTAGGCAGCAATCATATTAATGAACATTTGCTGAAGATTTGCAGAGTGTCATCCTAGGTGAGGGAGCGTCAAAACAAAGGAAATGGGAAATAAGGTTTCCCCTGTTCAGACTTGCAATCCACATAGGGAGAAAGAAGATGTACACATAAGACAATTCTCAAAAACAAATGTAAAAGCCAAAATACCTGAGAAATATTTATTTAACCAAGAAATGTCTATTAATCACCATATGCCAAAATGTGATTGATTCTGAGAGATGTCCGCTTATGGAGTAAATAGTTAGGTGGGTTCATTCCTGAAATGTTTCCTAGGGGAAGCAACTTGTGATGTAAGAGAAAGCCGAGTTTAGAAGAGAGAATCAGTGTTTCTGATGAAAAAAATAATTGGACGTACTCTCAACAAAAACGAAATCTTGTAGTTGGCTTGTCTACATGAAGCATGGGAACGTGGGTGCATAATGCAATATTTAAGAAGATTTAAGAGACTAATATTACACACTATAGATCAGTGTCACATTAACATCCTAAATATTTAACTTTCAATTTTTTTTGGAAAGGTAATTGCCAGTCTTGTCTTTTTACTAATGTGATAAAAAAATGAGAACTTGTCCTTCAGGAGTGAGTGATTTGACTGTTATAACCCTTTGTTGAGGGTTATAACATTCTGGTAAGGATACACTGACCCAAAAGTAAGCTCTCAGGCATGTTATCATTTCAGGCAGAGAGAATAGAAAGTCCTATGTTGAAGACAGCAAGAAAATGACAAGCTGGTGTGGAAGGTTGACGTAAGGATGTTCTAATACTAGGAGAGATGTTATCTCATTAAAATGAATTTTCCCTCTAGGAAAGCAAATCATAAACCCATTCAAGTCTTGTCCGTGTCTTCCCATACATTCACAATAGGGGGTTTGCCCAATTCTCCGAGTGCCTTCTTCATATTTTCTAGACATTAGTCAATAAATTAATCAGCAAGTGTTCATTAAGGCACCTACTATGCACCAGACACTGTATCCAAGCTTTCTTTCCATTAATACTCATTCTTATTTTGTGATCAGCCTACCTTTTTTCCTGTGCCCAGAGTGGAACAAATCAAATCCCACATTAATAACTTGTTGGCTGGGAGTATAAAAGCTGCCCCTTGATTCTTCACAGATGACATGTTTTAACACTGCTTTTCCTTTGTAATTCCTCACTTATGATGTGTTATGTGCATATACCCAGAGACAATTATACAAAGCACACCTAGGGCAGGCAGAATAAGGTGAGAAGGGTAGGGCTCCTATTTTATTGCATCTGTATTTCCTCATACCTAATATTTTTACTTACTAGGTGGTAAGTTCTGCCATTTCTACATTGCTGAAAGATTGAAAATGTTGTCAGCACCTTCCAAATTGGGCTTCTTAGATTCTGCCACCTTTGGCCAATCCCCAGTTGCCTATTCAATAAACTCCAGTGGCTGCCTATTACCTCCAGGATCAAATATAAAATCCTCTGTTTGGAGTTTAAAGTCCTTCACAACGTGGCTTCTTCCCACCTTTCCATTCTTCTTAACACCTTACACCTCTACTGTCCCTAGCCCCATGCTCTGTGAACCTTTTACACTTGCCTTTTTCATCTCCTGACTATAGGCATTTTCAAAAAATAAATAATTAATTGATTTTTAGTTTTCAACATTCACTTCCATAAAACTTTAAGCTTTAAATTTTCTCCCCCTCCCTCTCCTCTCCCCCCACCAAGATGGCGTGCAATCTGATACAGGCTCTACTTATACATCCATATTAACCATGTTTTCCCATTAGTCATGATGTAAAGAAGAATTAGGACTAATGGGAGGAACTATAAGAATGAAGCAATAAAACAAAACAACAAAGGAAAAGGAGAGCAAATAGTATGCTTCCATCTGCATTCAGATTCCCATACTCTGTGATTCCTTTACACTGGCCTCCTTCATTTCCTGATTCTAGGCATTTTCACTGGCTGTCCTTCATGCCTGGAATTTCCTCTCTTATATTTGCCTCCTAACTTCCTTGTCTTCCTTTAAATCTCAAATAAAATCCAACCTTCTGCAAGAAGCATTTCCCAGTATTTCTTAAGACACTACAAGGACCAGGCATGTCGACTGATGCAAAAATCTATTATTATTTTGCAATCAAATACAAATTTTCAACCAACCTCTTATTTTCTTTGCCTTGTGTATTTAAAAAAAAAAAGTTGTTGTTCAGTAGTTTCAGTCATGTCCAACTCTTCGTGACCCCATTTGGGGTTTTCTTTGCAAAGATACTGGAGTGGTTTGTCGTTTCATTCTCTAGCTCACTTTACAGAAAAGGAAACTGAGGCAAAAAGGGTTAAATGACTTGGAGTCTTTCTGACTCCAAGCCAAGGGCTCTATCCACTGTGCCACCTCGCTGCCCCCTAAAAAATGCACTGCATCAAGTGATGCTGCTCGGTCTTTTGAGATATTCTTAAATTCTCCCATGCTATTTCCCTCTGAGATTACTACCAATTTTCGATATAGCTTGTTTGTATATAGCTGTTTACATGTTGGCTCCTCTATTAGACTGTGAGTTCCTTAAGGGCAGGGACTGTCTTTTGCCTTTCTCTGTATCCCCAGTGTTTAGCACAGTGCTTGGCATGTAGTAGTCAGTGTTTAATAAATGGTAGTTGATTGATTGAAACAGGAAAACACCCATTTGGGAATTGAGGCTGCAGGGACTTTGGAGAGTCATTTTCCTTGAGATTTTCCACTGAAGTAATTCTCTATCTGGGAAGTTCTTTCTCAATTAAGTTTGAATTTTTCTCTTTATGTTTGGTATATTTGTTTGTTAAGTGAGCTTTCTTATTTTCTGACTGGAGGCAGAGGATAGCTCATCTGATCAAACAAATACTGGTGGCTGCCTGCCTGCCTGTGGAAATAACAAAGGTCTCTTCTCACTCTCTTGGGGCCAAGGAAGTTTTCCTTCATCTGGATGTAGCGAGCTTCCCATGCCTAGGGGCACTGTGCCTAGAATGGATCAAAGAGAGGCTCAAACTTGTAATCCTTTACCAGGAGTAGAAGAAATGCCCCTCATTCTGCAGTTCATTTTCCCACCCCCTTCTATTCTCTACACACCCAGGTAAGATAAGGCAAGTGAGCATAGCCCATTTATCAATAATGACAGGAACATATCATTGCAGAGATGATCTCATATATTAATGGTGTCCTTTCTCTCTGAGCAGGTAACTTAGGTCATTTTGTCAGGAACATGTTATTGGCTTAGCTCCTCTTGCCCTTGGTAATCATGTATTGCCACCTACTTTATTCTCTGTTTAAAGTTGCATTTGCTGTAAATCAAGGAGAACTGTCTGCTGTTGGTCTGAAAGCAGCCCAGCTGAAAGAAATCCCTTTGAAACTATTCAGCTTGTCACAAATGATTTTCCAGCCTGCCTTAACACAGTTAGGAATGTGCATCTCTCACATGTTTGGGACAATAATTCACATTTTGCTATCTTTTGTAAACATTCTTTGGCTAGGGAGAGGATGTAACCGGTGATTAAATAATGCAATTCTGTTGCATGGAAGAATTGTAAATCAATAATTAAAACCAAATGAGCTGAACAAAATGGGTAGGGCTGGAAAGAAAAGTTGTCAGGAGGGTTTGAGCCAAAGCATCCCCAGACAACATAAACTGTCTTCTAGTCTCTCAGTATTTGTCTGCTTGTTTTCAAAGCACCAATTCTCTTTTCTTTTCCAGTGTCCATTGGCATGTGAGTGCATTGCCCCAGAAGGTATCAAAGACAAGGACAGCTTACTTTTCTTAAATGCAGGTATGTGCCACAGTTTTGGAGACCTGGATTAGAACGTTCTCCAGCCCCCCACCTCTCATCCTAATATTACTTTGTGGGGATCTTGAATATAATTTATATTTATTTATTTGTGTGCATGCTATTTTTCCACAGCAGAGTGCAACCCCTTTGAAGGCAGGGACTATTTGTCTTCTAGCTTTGTATCTCCAGTGTCTGGCACAGTCTCTGTTACGTAATAGGTGTTTTAATAAACACCTGATGAATTTAATTGAATTACAAGTAGGTTCCTTTGTGATTTTTTTTATTCAGATTAGTGTTTTCAAAGCATTTGAAAACTCTTTTTTAAAAAATTGCACTTTTAAAAATTTATTTAATTTCACACTAGTACCCGTGGAAGTAGAACAAATAGTTTCAGAGCAGTAAGTAATATGTGAAATCTACAACTGAAGAATGCTCCTCTCCCCCCCCCCCCCCATTTTAAAACAATGAGATATTGAACAGATTTTGGACAATTGATGTTTTAATGTGCTTGCCCCGTCTACTAATTTTTAAATGACATTTTGCAAAAATAAACTTGTTGATACTAAGTTTATATAAAACACTTTGGAATGTATCATATTAACAAATATAAACCACAATTTTATGGTATGTTCATGATTCATTTTTGGGAAAACTCAGATGAGAAGCAAATGAAGACATATTTCCCAAAACAAATGAAGATACCCCGAAGCTCGAGTGAATCTTTGATCTCACCAATGTGGGCACTCCATCCAATGGCACAGAATGTCACTCAGTGGTGGTTTGTTGAAGGATTTTGTTGAGTCGTTCTAGAATTTTCCAATCTTTTATTCTCATCAACATATTTAGAAGCCTAAGACCTTTGCAGTCTCCCTCACCTCCCCTCCAGCCTTCATCTGTTCTCAAATCCATCTGGAATATCCAAGTTGTAGGAAGAACCACCTCTTTTCTTGCCTCTTCACTTTGCCTATGTTGCTTGACTGCTCAGAGGACTTGAATGAGATGGGAGTGGCTGGCTCTATGCTTTGTGCTGACATAGAAGAACACCATGTATTACCATGTGCCCTGCTACTTGCTTCCTAAGGTCCTCTAGGTCTTACTGTTTGCCTGGCTTCTGAGACCTGAATCCCCTTGGCACTGTCTTCTAAGTGAATACTGATTCACATAATGGCAGGATCCCTAGGACTCCCATCCTCTCTACTACTGAATCACTAAGACTTTCCATCTGCCCAGCAGCTGAACCCAGTGATATGTGGTGTCTCCTTCAATTAGATTGTGACCTCCTTGAGAGCAAGAAATGGCTTACTTTTCATTTTTATTTGTAGCCATAGTCCTTAGCACAGTGATTGCAACATAACTTTTTTTAATTACATAATATTTTATTTTTCCCCAGTTACACATTAAAACATTTTTTAACATTTTATTTTAAATTAAAGTTTTGGAGCACCGGCCCTGGATTCAGGAGGACCTGAGTTCAAATCCAGCCTCAGACACATAACACTTACTACCTATGTGACCTTGGGCAAGTCACTTAACCCCATTGCCTATCCTTAAAAAATAAATAAATAAATAAATTAAAGTTTTGAGTTCCAAATTCTACCTTTCCCTTCCATGCCCCTCCCTGAGATGGTAAGTGATCTGGTTATACAGGGACATAATAACTTAATAAATGTTTTTCATTCGTTCATAATAGTATTTTTTGCCTATGAGACAACCTGTGACATATCCCATGAAATGTGTTTTCTTATTGCCTTTGGGGACTCATTCATCCATTACTTCAATGAGCATTTCTCAAATACCTTTTGTTGTTATTCTGTCATTTTCAATCATGTCTGACTCTTCATCACCTCATTTGGGGTTTTCTTGGCAAAGATACTGAAGTGGTTTGCCATTTCCTCCTCCTCATTTTACAGATGGGGAAACTGAGACAAACAGGAGTAAATGGCTTGCCCAGGGTCACACAGCTATTAAGTGTTTGAGGCTGGATTTGAACTCATGAAGATGAGTCCTCCAGATTCCAAGCTCAGGGCTCTATCCACTATGCCACTTAGTTGACCCTAAATACCTACTATAATAATAGTAGCTAGCATTTTACACGCGTTAAAGTTTGCAAAACACTTTGCATATGTTCCGTCATTTGGTCCTCACAAAAACCCTGTGAAGAAGCTACTATTACCTTTTTTTATAGGTTAAGAAGCAGAGCTCTAGTTAGTGTCTGAGGAAGGATTAGAACTTGGGTCTTCTGACTTCAAAGCCAACCTCTGTCAATTATATTCCCTGCTATAAGCCTCCTCCTCTATTTGCCTCTTCAAGGAGAAACTCTAAGTTAGACCACCATGTAGCTCCAATCTATTCATGCTTTTTAATTTCATTTGTAGGGAGAATGTCAATATTTATGTATCTCAGTGCTTCCAGTATTATGTGAGCTCGCTGGTTGTTGGACAAAGTTCTTATATTAGGAGGCCTGAGGGTTAAATCAATATCTATTGATAGTCCAGAAACTCTTTGTTTCTTGGTACTCTTTCCCCCATTTCCCTCCTGCCACTGTCATTGCTGGAGAAGATGGTGGTCTCATGTTTCTTTGCTTTATGAAAAGCTATAGCAAAGGTTAATCTACTGGTTTCAGGGTTCTCCACACTTGAGTAACCTTGTTCTAGGATGACAGCCATCGTTCATTTCCAGGCCCACCATCAAAGTCTTTCTGCCCAGGTTGGACATGCCAAAACTGGTGCTATAGTCACCTCTATATTGCCCTGAGGCATTTAGTGAAACTTTAGTGGAGTTATAAATAAAAGTATTTTTTAAATGATAATTTGTTTATTTAGGTATATTAAAATCAAGAAAAATATTCTTTAAGCTAGGAGTTCTTAACTTTTTTGTGTCAAGGTCTCTTTTGACGGTCTGGTAAAACTCTTCTCAGAATAATATATTTAAATGCATAAAATAAAATACACAGGACGGCAAAGGAAAAATAAGGTTGTATTTTTTTCCCATCTAATCTCATGGAACCCCAGAAGCCTATTCATAGATCCCTGTCTATGGCTAGGGATCTATCCTGGGTTAAGAACCTCTGCTTTATTTATGAAGAGAAATATAAGGAGTGTAAAGGGGAAGAGGAAAAAAAAATAGAAAAAGCAAATTGATCCCTTAGTGCCTAAGACATTTAGATAACCTGTTTGGATTTCCTGAAACCTATGCTAACTCTTCCACCTTCCTAGGATGTGAATTAATATGCTGAAGCAGTAATCAATCAAAAAAAAGTACCTATCCTATACCTAAAAGAGAAGACTGAGGGGAGAACATAGCTCTTCCCTCTGAATGGCATTGACGTTCATTTTAGCACATAGGCCTGAGGGAAGAAGCCTCTGGAGAACTTTGTTTAGCCCCTGTCAGTCCCCAAGCTGCTTCTCTGTCCATTTTCCAATATAGGATATGTGGCTTATATGTCATTTGGTTATTGACCCTTATACTCGATGAGGATGAAAATGACATCACTGTGTCAAGGTCAAGGTACAGGCTGTAGCTGATCAGACCAAGACGAGCTAACATCATGAGCCTCAGAGGACTTATGTGGACATAGACAAGTTAAGACTCTTTTCTGATGTGGTAGATGGGGTCTAAAAGTAAGACGACCTCTGTTCTCATCTGATCCCACCATTTATTGGCTATACACACTTGAGGAAGTCATTCTGACTTTTTCATCTTTCAGATGACAAAAAAATAGAATCTGCCTTGCTTACCTCATAGTATTGTCAAGAGAGTAAAATGAGCCAATGCTTAGAGAACCCCACATGAGGTATCATTGTTACAGTATTTACTATAATATAAAATGTAATATAAAACCTACAAGAAAGCAACCCCTCTTTTTTTTAACCTTTACTCCTCTCCTTCTGACCCCTTCCTTCCCTCCTCCCCTTCTCTTTTCCTGCTCCCCAACTTGAATGGGAACAGGCTATGGAAAAGTAAGGGCTGCAGTAGGAAATTAAGATTCTTGTGTTAGAAGAGTTAAATCAGTTTCCTGGAGTATAAATGAAATCTCTGGAGATATATATAGCATCATGATGAGCGACTCTGAGATATGGCATTCTTTCCCACTCAAGGAGTGGGATCCTGGGCTCTTAATGGGTCATAAGCCAAAACAGTTCCCACTGTGCCATAAGAACTCTAGGTGTCAGTTCAGTGACTAAACTGTATGTCTATTGTCTGAGAACCAGCCTTTTAAGTGGCTGGTTGGCTGGGGTCATAGGGTACGAAGGTTTCTTTTTATTGTTTTTATCTTCAGCAATTCTCAAAGACAGTCTACTGTCAAGGTTAGACTGTGATTTATTGTAGCAGAGGGAATGTCCACCCTGTAAAACCAATGATCCTTGAAGTATTAAAGAATAGGGCAAAAAGACCATTGAACGATAGACTATAGAATTTCATGGTATCCTTATGCAATCTTATCCATCCTCATGACTGATCACTTACCCCATAAAGATAGGGAAAATCTCATATGATAAAGTGTACAAGTATAGAAGCTGGATTCAAAATTTCGGCATTAGATTTTTTAAAAATGTGTCTGCCTGTAATATAAATATGCACTGTTTGTATACCGACTGCATATGATTTTGTCCCATGTATAGCCTAGAGAATTTATCATGCACTCTCCGTGTAATTTCTTTTAAGTCAGCAGGCAAAGGGGGCTATTGACATTCTTCCCCAGTCTGGATATTAATATATTATGTGAAACTCACCAGCCTCAAGAGAGTTATGAAGTACTCCTTGAGTGGGAAAGAATGCCATATCTCAGAGTCGCTCATCATGATGCTATATATATCTCCAGAGATTTCATTTATACTCCAGGAAGCTCATTTAACTCTTCTAACACAAGAATCTTAATTTCCTACTGCAGCCCTTACTTTTCCATAGCCTGTTCCCATTCAAGTTGGGGAGCAGGAAAAGAGAAGCGGAGGACAGAAGGAGGGGGTCAGAAGGAGAGGAGTAAAAATTCCAGGGAGAAA